AGGACAGAAGATGCCACTGGCACAATCTTCCTCAAAGCCTGAAAATGGGGCGGGGGGGGGGAGGTTAATGTCACCAGACAACCTGTATAGCCTCGCCAGCATGCACTCATTCCAGTCTCAGCTTCCATTGCATATTGCCCACACATGGGACTTTCTAAAGAATTCCTAGGGCTTTGCTTTCTGCTGGAATCAGAAAAGTGCATGGTTGTTGACCTGATGAGTGAGGAGTGGGTACTACCAGCTGGAATCCTGCCACTGGCAGGGGCAGACAGGAAAACAGAAATGCTCTTAATGTCCTCCCAAAGAAAACCTTTGATGGGACAAAAGAGTGGTTGTATTTTTACCCGCTCTCTTCATGCTGCCAGGCTTCTTTAAATAGATCCTCTAGCCTAGGGACTTGTATGGAATAATTCATATTAAACCCAAGAACTGGCAGTGAAGGGTACACCTCTCTCTCTCTCTCTCTCTCTCTCTCTCTCTCTCTCTCTCTCTGTGTGTGTGTGTGTGTCCTTGTCAAGCTAACAGGAGATGGCTCATTTTAATTCAACTATGCTCTTTTAATGAATGTTTAGTTAATTGGGAAAAGATATCCAAAGCTCTCAGGAAATGAAAAAGAATAGGAAACTGCCTTGTGGATTTCTCTTTACTACCTCTTGCTTCCACATATGTTAGCAGCATCTTTTTGGTATGTTGCACAATGGAGGTCTTAAATGGGAATCTCTAATTGAAAGTCCAGTACCTTCTGCTTAAACTCCTGAATTGAACTGATTTTCTGGGGAAAGAGGAAAGGAAAGGAAAGGAAAGGAAAGAAAGAAAGAAAGAAAGAAAGAAAGAAAGAAAGAAAGAAAGAAAGAGGGGGTTTGAGGGAAGGGGTAAAAGAAAAGAGGGAGGGAGGGAGGGAGGGAGAGAGGAAGGGAGGGAGGAAGGAAGGAAGAAAGGAAAGAAGGAAGGAAGGAAGGGGTCCTTTCTCACCTCAATTACCTCACATTTTCTGTGCACTCAACTCAGGAGGGATTTCTTAATTCTCCCTTTGGGCAATGGGTTTGACAAGGCATCAAGCCTATGCTGGCCAAATTGAAAGTCCTGTTTGTTCTTCTTTCTGCCTGAGGACAAGAGACAGGAGAGAAACTTGAGGAACCCGGGAGCAGGGCAGGGACCAAAAGATCCAGGGGTATTTGTTCCAAGTCACTTGTCTCTCAGTCTGAAACAGAATAACCACATTTCTCTTAATGTGGGCTGAAGTGCATCCAGGCATTCCCATAGCACTCCCACTCCCAGGCCTTCGCCAGAGATGTCCGGGTCACTGTGATGGTATGCTTGTCTCTGCCAACCCGGGTCACTGCAGCTCCACTCTTGGCGAGCCACGTGGCTGCTCCTCTCTGTGAGTGGGTTCAGTCTCAGGGCTACAAAAAGCCCCCATATCCTATCGGCCCAGGAGAACCTGTGCCAAGAATGACATCCTGGGAATACTATGGAGATGAGGAGACTTCATGGGCTGTTCTCCCCAGTGGAACAGGACCCAGGCTGTCTGGAAAACAGACAGAGCAAAGGGCAGCTTACAATGGAAGGAGATCAGGCATAGGGAAAAGTGGAAGGACTGAGAGCAGTAGCGAACAAAAGAAAAGAAGCCACTTGCCACCCAGGAAGATTCAGCCCTGTGCGGAGGAGGTGGTGGAGGAATCAAGCACTTGCGGGGAACAAGTACCCAGACATGGCACTGCCAGTCTTACAAGATTCTTTTCTGTATTAGATTATGGGAAAGAAGGAGGGGAAATATATAGCCAGCCAGCTGTTCAATGGCTTACAACCTCGCTTTTATTGTCCGGGTAAGTTGGTGAGGTGGGGCATCAGAGGAATTCCAAACATACCATCCCAGAGAAGTTTTAATATGTTCCACAGTGTCATACACGAAGACGAAATGACAGCTGATCACAGCCAGGATGGGCCACAGCAATTTGGGCCCCGGAGCTCACCCACCCTCTTATGACCCTACTTCCCTTTCATTGTTCAGTGTTCACACATCTTAGTCCTTCCACCTGCCTCTCCATCCCCTCTGTTCCTGCTGGACTGGCAGGGGTGTCATTAATTGACAGTCACAGAATCAAAGATGAACATGGGCACAAAGGCCAATGGCCAAGAAGATGTGGCTTTCCTACGCACCCCAGAGGGTCAGAGGTGATCCAACACTTTCTGATAATGTACACCAAAATCAAAGACACTTTTGATGCTGTCTTCAAAATTTTCCCCAACGAATCTAATCATGTGATGAAACAATAGACTGGCTTGTTTGAAAGCAGCACTGTGTGTGGCTAAGTTTGGGGAACAACTTCCAGCCACTTATCCCAGGGTCCTCTTTAAATTTAGGCCAAGCTCAGAGATCACTGACTGCCTCAGTCTAGGCAATGGGACAAGTAAGTGATGGGAGAGAGTGATGGCGTCTTCCTCTCTGCATGTTTCCAATACAGTGATTCATCAAGTAGGCCTGATGTCAGCTGCTGGGGAGGTGACTCACTCCCATCCCCTGATAGAGATAGCATACAGTTCCCTTCCAGAGAGTGCTCAAGAGAACTGAGGAAGGATATGCTACTCTTTTTCCAGACTGCTACTATTTCCACCCCAAGAAAAATCTGATTGTATTAGCTGTGTGTGATACAGACAGGATACACACAGGTACAAACAGCCAAAGAGGAGGAGAACCCTTCATTATAAATAGAAAACTGGTTCATAAGTATTTCAAGTAATCTCGAACACTAGCGTGTATATGACATGGTTCTTAATAAGCACAAAGTTCTTGTGCAATTACTCATTGGGGAAACTGTTTCTCTTCCCAGATTCAATATAGGAAAGAGTACACAGACCCAAAATAAAACTGTGGGATAACATCCCATTCACCTTTGTATCCATCAGGGTAAGGACATTGCCAGGCACACTACAAATGCTCAATAAACATGTGCTGGGACGATGATGAGAATTATAACCCAGGAAGAACAATGGTACTGAAATCCTGAGTTCTCAACTCTGGCTACCATTGGTGCTTATAATTCTGAAAAAGTCATTTTTTAAGGACCCAGTGAAATAAATGAGTTGGAAATTGTTAAATGTATTGAAAAAATGATTTATTTTTCCCTTGACAGTGTCATTGGAACTCAAATTAAGATTGAGAACTCCACAGGCATATTTCCATCTGTGGGTGTCAGCTGCTTGATACCAATAATAATAAGGCCTTAGCCATTTCTCCCATTACCTGAAAGAAATGTGTTTTAAAAGAAATGATGCATGACGTTGCATTTATGTTGAAACACTCTCATATAATGGTCTGAATAACAGTTAAGAAAATTGTCAGTCACCGAAATGTTTTGCTAGCAGCAGTAGATTTTTAATTGTCATAAAATATTACAACAATCCAATCCATATTATTTTTATAGCCTTTCTTGATTAGTGAAGCAGTTGTGAATTCATTTCTCTAAATGTCTGATTTTTATACAACAACGCTCCTCAGGCTAGTTATTTATGAAAATCAGGGGGAAAATTCCCCATAAATTGTGCTCCCTGTTCCTCAATGAAAGCTGGCCAACAGAACCCTCAAGTTCACTTTCAGGAGTAAAATGAATGGAAAGAAAGTGAGCAGATACTTGTATGAAGTCTAAATGCCATTTTGAGACAGTCTACACTTCCTGATGCAGTTAGCTAACATCCAAAGCCAGCAGTGCATTTGCAGCATCTCTGTGTTCCACATGCACCTGGTAGCTAATATTGTGTTGAAGCAATTTACCATGTTGTATTTCGTAATTAAAACATACTAATATTAGAACTGGAGAGTTCTTAGCAGACACCAGCCATGTCTGCTAAGAATGACAGTTACAAGGTATAAGAAATTCTTATCTTTCCAAATAGATCGCTTTTCACACTTGAATCTCAGTGAAAAGAGGGAGGGAGGGAGGGACGAGAAAGGGGGGGGATGCTCTTTCACAGAGGCTTATCTGGGCTTGTCCATTACAATGAGCCTCAGTTACTGTGCTTTCTGAGTCATTAACATTCTGTACACAATCAAACTTCCCGTCGAGTTATGCCCGGGCCTCCTACAGCTCAATTGTTCATTTAATGAGAGAACTTGCATTTAAGAATAGGAAAGAACCCTCTGAATGTTCCTCAGGTGTCTGTAGGAGTCATTCCTCCAGGTCCTGGTCCCTGTGCTGTCAAGAGCATCCTTTCCTGGTCACTTCTTGGATATTGGATCATTGGTAGTGCTGCAGAAACAAACCAACTACTAAAAATAACCCCTTGCAATAAAGCCAAGGCAAACAGCATGCATTTCCTCAGACTTTTCACCCAATCAAAATCACACAGCAATCCCATGCTCATCTCTCCCGACACTCTTGAATGTATCCTTGGAAGCAAAATCCCAAAGCGGGATGGGAGAAGAGTGCAAAGGAATAGTGTGACGCTGAAAGCTAGGCATAAATGTTGCCTATTGTTTGAAGTCATTCTGAGCACTCCGGCACAGCCCTGGCAGGAGATCAGCCGCATACATAAGGAGTAATAAAAGTAAACAGTGCACATTTAACCTCGCAGACTTGCTTGCGTTAATAGTGCCCCCATTGTAAGTGGGATGAAGGCGGTGGGGAAGATACAGATACGGAACTCCACAAATGCAAGTCGGCAACTGCTGCTTCTCTGTCCTCTTTCATGGTGTCACATAGAAGAACCATTTCAAAGTTACATCTAACTACGCAGAGTTTGAAAAGAAATCAACCCCAAAGATATTTTCCAGCTTCTCTGGGACACTTCCTGCTCTGTCACAGACTTCAAAGACCCGTTCATTTAAAACAAACAAACAAAAAATCCACAAGGTTAGCATGCTACAGATTAATGTAAATTAAAGTGATGCAAATTTAAGTGGTATTTAAAGGTTGTCTCTTTGTCTGCAAGAAGGATGAAAGGTTGAGTTTGGAAAGAAGTAATTTCTTAGGCAAGCCGGCAGCGCTTGTTTTCCTGCTTACCTTGGGGGAAACGCAGGGCTCCTTTCTTCTCAGACTTTTCTGAGAGCTAGAAAGAGGTCCTGTTACTTCCAAATGCTTTTGTTCTTCTGTCCCTCTGTCACATGGCTTGCCTTTTATATTTGCAACACACAAAAGTTAGGACTGTTGTTTAAGCGACCCAGGGAGAGAGAGAGAGAGAGAGAGAGAGAGAGAGAGAGAGAGAGAGAGAGAGAGAGAGAGAGAGAGAGAGAGAGAGAGAGAGAGAGAGAGAGAGAGAGAGAGAGAGAGAGAGTCAAATGGAAAAGTGCCATCGCAGGCATATATCAATCAGGCGTGTGGTCGCAGCAGCGCAACTAGCAAATGGGAATACCACGGAAATGTTTAGGCGCTCCTTATCAGGGACTCAGCCTCTGCCCACTGCTCGGGGCTCCTTTCCATGGAGCATTTTACGATGAGAACAACAACATAGAACAGGGAAGTTTTTTTCCCCTTTCTCCCCATTTTTTTTTATTTTTTTTTTTTTACAATAATAAGAGGCCAAATGAATATTCTGAATTTAATTCTTTTGCAAGTATGTAGCTTCCATAAAGATGTGCAGTTGGCAATAGAGACACATGGTTTTGGAACTACAAAGACAGGGCAGCATTCTGCTTAATGATTCAGCAGCTGGCTAGGATGAAGCTGAAATGCTAAGGGAGGGAAAGACGGACATCAGCAATCTTTCTCAGGCTAAGCAGGAAAGCAAGTGCAAAAAACGCTACCGTGTTTTAGCATGATGTGCGTGGGTGGTGAGAGTTCTTTTTTTCCAAGTTGTTCATCCATTAAATGATTTTTAGCAGCATAAATGCGATTCAGCTCTCAGTGGCACTTTAATAAGTGCCTTCGCTGACATCATTTAGAACAAAACTTTGTAATAGATTTAGAAACAAAGGGCAAAACGTTTGGTTCATGACTCCTTGAGACATGTGAGGGTATGACTAACAAGTAAGGCTAACCCACTACGTCACATTTAGTAGAAAAGTGACAAAGGTAAACGGTGTGTGTGGGGGGGGGGGGATGGGGATTAAGCACCTGCTGCTGAAAAAAATGCTGTTATGAGCTTTGGAAACAAAAAAAGGAAAGGTTTCATAAATATGACTCTTAAATGCTTAAAGACAAAATTATTAGCAATTTTGGAAAACTGGCACCAATACAAAAAGGATAATTTATAATTGTTTTGATGTCATAAGATTCAGACTCACAATAACTTATTTTATTAATACTGATGAATACTCAAATCAAGGAAATGAAACAAAATCTAAGATACCTTATTAAATGTAATATACCATACATCTTAAGAAAAATTTCTCTTGAGAGCTCTAGCCAGCCAACTACCATCATATTATGCAGTATCTGATCATTTATTTCTCATCAATAAATTGATGATAACCAAATTGTGGTTTCCCCTCACATAGAACTTCCACTTCAAACAGCCATTGGTGTTTTATTACCTGCATACAAATCTGTTCAGCTTTGCCTCAGACTTTTAGTAAGAAGTACTTTTCTTATCCTATACCAGGAAAGCCCTGTTTACCTTGGACCAGTCACAGAATTTACTTCTGGGGGTTAAGGATAAATGACATGTTCAAAGCCTTGAATAAAAGGGATTTGGCTAAATGTCTTGAAAGCAGATTCTTAACAAGCAAATGGGAGCTGGACCTTAAAAATGGGAATAGTCTTCAAGGGGCTTTGACTTGTCCCTGAGTAAGTGCCATGGAAATAGTCATGAGTGCATTTTCTGGCTTAGTTGGTTGGATTAGATTCAGAGGAAGAATAAAGTCTTACATCACCAAATTTTCAAGTATCAAAGTTTGACAGCCACCCACCTCTTCATTTTCCTGAGAAACAATTAGTGGCTCTTGCTGGAGGTTCTTAGAGCTCCACCTTGCCATCTTTTGCCTGGGGGGTTCTCAAGGTTGCCCTACCTGCTCAGAAGCAACTTGAAACAGTGTGTTTCTTCCTAGATGGACTTTTCCAGCATTGTACAATCTGCCCTTCTGAAAGAGCACCACAGGAATTGTAAGACTGCAAAAACATTGACTGCTTGGCCTCAGAAGACAGGCTCTTTCCCAGATGGAGCCCCTTCCTCCTGCTTTACCCTGTCAGGGATAGCAAAGTCGACCATCTGCTGCTGTTTTCAAAAGGGAGGTTTTGCCTCTGCCCATCAGGCTCCAGGGGACCGGATTCTAAGCCTGCCAATAGGTATCTGGCAACAGAAACTGTTTTCAGCACCTCACCACGCTTTTTATAAATGTCAATATGCCATACAGTTACTTTACTAGCCATGATAAAGGTTGCTGAGGGAGAAGGATTTTCTTTAAATTTCCATCTATGCAAAAGGAGAGAGGTTTTTGCTGCTACTTCATATGTATTTAGAGTAGGGAAACATCTACAGAAGATATCTCTCAGCTGCACAGGGGATAATACTTCAAAGGCATTCCTACCCCATGGCTGGAGACTAGAAGGACACAAGCATGCTAGGAAAGCCATCAGCTCCAATGGACCATTTCTGAATCTGTTGCTTCTGTTCCCGATTTTCACTTGTTTCTAGGTGTTTTGAGGGACAGTGAGAAGAGTTACCCATCAACTGAACACTCCTAATGGATGACTGTGCCCTACACATGTGGGAGACAAGACCTACCTCCACACTGCAGACCTAAAGGGTCAGGCCATTCCTCTCCCTTCCTCACAGCAGATGGAGGAAGCCTTATGATCAAGTCTGGTTCACTAAACAGGATGAGGAAGAATGAACAGTACTTACAGACATTTAGAAATTATTCTCTGTGGTCACACTGGAATGGAAAACCTGGAGGCTGCAGCAGGCCAATGTTAGGGAAACCAGAGCCCATTAATGTGACAGTGGGTGGCCTTGGGGACACAAAGCTCATGGGTGGGCGATCTTAGCAGTTTGATCTTTTTTTGGCTGAATCTGTGTTCACCACCACTTATGAACCTAAAAACTGGAGAATTTTCCTGAAGACTCCATGAACTAAAACCCTACCCTGGCCTTTCCATGATTTGACAATAAATTCCCTTCTAGCTAGAGTCAGTTTTTGCGGATGGTAACCAGAAGTCCTGCCTTTCATGTTTTTTTTTCCAAATGTACAGAAACTAAGATCATTAACATGCACATAGAAATGTGATCACCACATCTTCCTAGTTAATTTTCAGAAAATATAGATTCAGACTCATTGCCAACTCTGCTATAGTTTCTACTATGATATTGTAGACCCAAAGAAAATTCTTATATAACAAGGTGCATGGTATTGTGTATATTCCTGTGTGTGTGTGTGTGCGTGTGTGTGTGTGTGTGTGAGATCTCAACCCACCAACACAATGTATTAGACACAGTTTACACTTATCTGTAAGAGTACTAATCTTTTTTTCCTACCAGATATAATTTCCATTCTTCCATTTAAAAAAATATGTTAATAATAATAGCAATCACCTAATGGGTGCTTACTCTCTGCTCATCTATGTGCTAAATGTTCCATAAATATTCTTTCTTTCAGAATGATACTCAGCCCAACTCTCAAAACACTATTGTTTTCTCTGTTTTATCAATGAAGAAAACAAGGCTCTAAAAGGTTAGGTGATTTCCCTGTGGTTGGCACAGCAAACAGATAGCAGGTATAACTTCTGACTTTCCTGTTTTCAAAGACTGAGGCATAATCAACTATGCCATGTTTCTCCCAAACAGCAAGCATTCCCTGGGGAGCCTTTCTATGAGTGGAGAAGAAAAATAAAGGGAAGATAAGGCTGCAGTTCTTAAGGTGTTTATGACATGACATGAAAGAGAGGAATATTTACGTATGAAGATACTGCCTGGTATAATGGGATCAGGCCCATGAGAAAACCAAGAGGTGGTACACCCAGTTGATGGTCATTTTCCATCCCCTTATGGGGTCTGAGCTTTTAAGGAACATAGTGTGAAGCAGAAGAAGTGAAAGATCTGCTTGTGAAATAATATACAATCTTTTTTTTTTTTTTTACTTGACCTAAATTTATGTCATGATGAGCCAGGAAAATGTGATAAACAGCACACAGCACAGGGCTAAGCAAAGAAGTTGAGGCCAGATGGTGTTCACCAAGAGAACAGAGCAGCTGCAGTAAAGCTTGCTGGCAGAGTTCTTACCATCCATGTATAAGGGCTACTTATCAGTTTTCAATGCTGCAAAACAAACAGAAAAACAAACAAAGCAAAAGGAGAAGGTGAAGTGAAAAGCCAATTGAGACTGGGGAAGGCCTTGGTTCTATCCCAGATTTTGTTGATTCCCCAAGGAAGGTCTTAACCCTGCCATGAGAAGTGGATGGGGTTTGGGAAGGGGAGAAGTGGGGGGGAAAGAGGAGGGAGGGGGGACAGGGGTTGGTATGTAAAATGAAAAATATATTTTTTAATTAAAAAAACTATTCAACACAATGATTTATGAGGAAGTATGCAGTTTTATTCAGGTTAGAGAGCTCCTCAACTCAAGCTTTTTGCTTTCCCATCATAACATTGGTGGCTTCTGTTTTCCTTTAGCAGGTCAATTCATGAGCACAAGATGACTGCTAGAACTCTAGAAATCACATTGAAATGTAGGTGTCAAGGGGAAAACATAGCAGTTTGTTCTTTACATGATTTAAGAATGAGAATTTTCCAGAAATAACAGTCTTTCTTTTAAATCCCATTGACTCTATCAACAAATTCTGCAAAGGCAAACATCATTGGCTTGATCCTATCACAGTCCATGGCTTGGCATTTGGGTAGTCAGATTCTTAGTCATGAGACAGAATAAATGAAAGCTGGGCAGATAACTAGTAGTAACTGCCACAGTGGGCATGACAATATGTGCACAGGGTGACTTCAGATTGTGGCAAATGCTAATTAGAGTAATGAGATAGAGAAGGTGAGTTAATAGGGTGATCTGAGTGGATCTCTGTGTGGAATTGACATCTGTATTCCAATGCTAAGTACAAACTAGATTAGAAGAAATGCCAGGGTAGTTGAACAGAATGAAGGGAACAATTGATTGGACAATGTCAGAGATGAAGGCAGGCGCTATATATAGTAGACCTTCAGTAAATACAGGGTAGCAAAATCAGTTGGTGCAAACTAAAATCCCTTACATAAAATGCCATGCATATCTTCTTATATACTTCAGATAATCTCTACATTATTTATAATACCCCATACAATGTAATGTTTTG